GACGGACCATGGTGATCAGGTATCAGTTAAATCCTGTCCAGGTTGGAGCTGCGTGTTTGTCCCAGAAACATGTCTGTCATCTGGTTCCACCCAGTGGTGCAGCAAACTTTTTAAATGTCAAAGAAGTATGTGTCAGGCTTACGGCAAAATTTAGTTTGGAGCTAATAAAACAGTCCTTGAGCAGGCTGTGAGGACAAAGAATGGAAACTGGTCTTTAAAGTTTTTAATTTGTGGGTTTTTTTTGTGTGTGTTCATCTACGGCAGGAGTACTACACTAAAAGATCTCAGAAACTTGTTCAAAGTCAAACTGTGCACCAAGCTGAACAACTATCCTTTTGTTTTCTTATTTCTAATAAACAGATTGTTAAACAAGATAAAAACCAAATTACAAGCTACGACCTGAAAAGTTATTTAAAGGCAAAAAACTACTGTGGTGTTAAACTCTGGAGAGCTACACATTCAAGAAGTTTATTTATTTTTGAAATGGTTGAAATGTGTGTTTGCAGTTGAAAAATGAATTGTTTGATTTCAGGTAATCCTGGCAGTTTGGCTCAGGTTGCTCTGTAGTGGAAAGCCAGTCCTCTGTGGTTCTTTGAGAGGGTTAGTTTCCCAGCTCAACACTGGGTTATATGGAAACTGGCTGGCTGTGTTGATCCACTAAAGGCTAATGTGCTGTGTGAAGATTGTTTTTCCGAACCAAAACCGCAAGGAGGGCAGGCGTACGCGCTCTGGTCCAGTGGGTCATACAGTAAGCCAGTTTCATTCTTTCTCTCGGTCGACGTCGACTCGCTCCAGTCTGTTGAGTTAGTTTTATTACCCAGAAAACAGGAACGACCGCTGCCAACGCATTTCACACACAGTAACCTGCAGAAGCCATGAAAACCAGCCAGCTGCCTTCATACACTCTTACTAATCTCCTTTCTTTTAGTCAAAATATGACATTTAGATTCTTAAAAGGGATTTTCCCCCTTTTTTGTATGTTTTTTTTGGTGGGGGGTGGAGCCTGTTGGAGTTATCAGCAGTAGAATGTAGGCAAGTTAAGGCTATTCAGAGTTAAGCTACCAGCTACTCAGAGTTAATCTATCAACTGCTCAGTCAAGCTAACAACTACAATAAGTCAAACTAAGAGCTACTTAAAATTTACACAAAGCCAAATTAGCATCTACTTAAAATCATGCTAATAGCTACTCATTTAGGCTAACATTTACTTGGAGTCAAACTATCCAAAACTAAGAATCAAGCTACAGGCAGCTGGAATCAAAGTAACACGCTGTGTCCAAAACAGCAGGCCGGGTCCTCCGAAGGCCGAATTCGTCGGCCGCATACGTCACAGCGCCGCGACGAAGGACGTCCAAAACCGAAGACTCCTCCGATGCGGCCGACAAATACGTCCTTCCTTTTCCCCGAATCGAAGGACAGGTCCGATGGATACTTCCCGGCCCAGCATATCCCATAATGCATTGCGGCCCGACCGGAGATTTGTTTAAGCTAGTAATGGTGGACGAAGCGAGACAAAAAGAAACATTTTAAATAAAAATATGGCGATATAAAAATTTAATTTTTTYAGTGGTTGTAATTCTAATACTTTTATCATTTGTATAGACATGTTTTTAAATATTATTTTTGTCATAAAAAACGTGAAATAAACATGTACCTACAGCGGGTCAATTAGTTCTTCAAATGATACCTTTATGTTAATTTTATAGTTTTGTGATATTAATAATGCTAATATATTGATATTTTTAAGGTTTTGATTTAAGTTTGCATGTTTAGCGTCGTCACAGTTGCTAGGTGACATGACGTAAGGACGGGAGGCTAGACCGTCCAAATTCACAGCCTCTTTTTTTCCGGTCTTCCCGGTCTACCAAGGACCCGGCCCGCCTCGATCGGGTAGTCTGGGTCCTCCGGAGGACCCGGCCTGTCGTTTTGGACACAGCCACAGCTAGTTAGTTAAGCTAACAGCTTCTTAAACTTAAGCCATTGTGACTCATAGTCAGGCTATGGGCTAGTTAGTTAAGCTAACGGCTAAAATGAACTAAATGTTACTCAGAGTACTAAAGCTAACTGCTATTGCAAAGAAAGCTAACAGTAGCTGTGTTTCCATTGACTTTGAAAATGTGCAAATTAGAAGTTAGAAAAAAATGTGCTTAATGCAAACATCAATTTCGAAAAAACTTCTGTTTTTCGACAAAACATTTTTACGCTAGGATGAGGTGGTATTTCGACCGTATCGAAATCGGTGTATTTCACAAAACTTCAAAGGAAACACTTTTTTCGCATCACAGGAGTCACGTGATCAACAACCGGCTGTTTCTACTGGCGACGATGAAGAAGAAAACAACAGGAAGTAGAAGTAGTAGTAAAATCACCGAAGTAGCAAAAGAAAGTAATAAAATCACCGACTACAAATTCCCAAAAACATGGCATATGTAGCCGCTTCCAAGTATAAGGGGCTTGTCGCTCAAAAGCCTCGACGCCGACGTCTCCTCTGATGGCTGATGATGAGCGCTAGTGTCGTGGTAGCAATATGCATGTATTTACATCCGTCACCGCCATGTTTGTAATGACTTATCGCGAGAACAAACGTATTCACGTGACTTTAATAACATTTCTTACTTAATGGAAACACCCCATTTTGCGAAACTGTGTTTTTAACGTTACCAGAATATCGACAAAGTTTTGCGCACATTTGAAATGGAAGCGCAGCTAGTTACACTCGAGTTAAGATGAACGCTATTTGAAGTTAAGCCAACAATCACCCAAAAAAACACAACTACTTATAATCAAAACTACTCAGGGTTAGGTTAACCGTTACATAAAATCAATCTAAGAGCAAATGTGAGCTAAGCTAACTGCTACACAAAGTTAAGATAACAACTACACGGCCATGCTAACATTTAAATTATTGTTATTATTATTTTGTTTCAGATAGTAAACACTTCTGAGGAAATATCTTAGCAGTGACATACGTTTGTTTTGTCATACAGGTGAGGCATGTGGAGAAAACCACTGTCAGCATCGGTGATTTTTAGCAACACAGGATCAAAACTTATCTCTAAAAGCTAACTTTCTGACCTTATGTCCACATCTGTGTGTCTGTGTTTAAAACACGGTAATGTTCGGGTGTGTGCTCACAAGCTTCTGTGTGTGCGAGACCCCCACAGAAAGCTCCTCTTTGTGCCATGTCGGAGGCAGCCTTCCTAATCAGGGGTCATTACATGAGGTTAGTGAGGGGGGTCTCCAGGGAGAGGAGAGGGGATCAGAGCTCAGATTAGACCCAGCCGACCCCTCGCCGTCCCCGGGCACCACGGCAGCGAAACCCTACCCCACCCGGCTATAAATATGTGACCATAAGAGTCTGATTTACAGGAAAACACAGCAGACTCTGCTGCTTGTTCTCATCCTTTGTGTGTTTATCTGTTGGGTTGTGTGTTCATGCATCAGGTGTGTGTGTGTGAGAGAGAGAGAGAAGGGAAGGTATGTGGCCCCGGGGCCAAAGCAGGGAGGGGTAAGTGGCTGATTACCTGTAATGGTCCTCGCACAGATGAGACAGAGGAAGCAGGAGGGAGAGTTTAAAAAGGAGAAACAGATAATGGAGGATGGTCTCCTGATGTGGACGAGCAGAGTGATGGAGGTGTCGTTCTCATGCTCCAGTGGCCAAAACTCTGCTGATAAGACCGAATCCACGGGATAACTTTACACTTATCTGTCTGGTCTGTGTCCGGACAGGCTTTGACTCCACAGCTTTTAACAGACGAGTGCCTGCTTCTTATTCCAGAGCGTTGATACCGGGAATAAAAATCAATTCTGTGCTTTACTTTCCTCGTCCTAACCTAGTTTGCTGGTTGTGCTTTAGAATTACACAAACGGTTCAAAAGATTAACGGATTCACAAAAGTTCAGCCAAAATTACAATTAAGATTTCAGTAATAAAAATGTCCAAATCGTTTGATGAAAGAGTCAATTTATTCCAACAACTTACTATATTTATATATACTTCATATTGTGGTGGAAGAGTAAGTGTTCCTATAGGATTCTAGGAGCTTTGCTGTTGGTTGGGTCTCCCAAAGCAGCTTGGCCCTTAGTGACAGGACAGACAGTTGGACAGAAGTCTGCTTGGATGTGGGTTACAGGGAACCCACTTTGGAGTCAGGACTCATCAGCAATAATGATGTAAATCAGCAGCTTTTTCATGATACCATATTTTATCTATTTGTTTGGATGATGATATGGTGTTTCTCTATTAAAATCTTTCATAATACAATTTTGATTCAGTTCAATTTACAAGTCTGCGATCGACATGATCCGATATGTTTCGATCCTCATCGGGCATATGATGACGATATGATCAATGTTTTCATTTTGCTTCAATGTAATTAAATACTTAATCATTTAATAGACACATTGATGTGGTTATATCTGCCAGCAAGACTGGCAGGCTTTTAGGTAGGATTTTGGAATGAAGCATCAACATTTACGAAACTAACAGAAGTTCACAAAATTTACGTTGGGGGAAAACGATATGGAGAGACCGGGAGCGGAGATTGATGGAGAGGAAAAGAAAAACCAACTTGCGGGAAAATATCTGTTAAATCTTGGCAAACTCAAAGATCGGCATGGTGCCCTGAAGGGCTAAGCTAAAGAAGGCATCAGAAAACCAAACAAGGCATCCAGAAGACGTCCCAATGCCCGTGAAGCTAAAAGTCTGTTGACCAAGGATATGAGGCCTGGTTGGGTTCAGCTCGATTGAGTTATGTGGGTTTGCCTTCTTGTAAGACCATCACCTGCTACAGAGGACTTATGAGTGTGGTGCACAGTGCCATTGGTGGCAGCCAAAGGTAAGGACCTTGGTGATCTGACCCTGGCTTGAGCACTTCTCTAGTGCTGATGCTGCTGCCCCCACGACCCAACCTCACAACAGGAGTTGATGAACAGAGTATACGTCAGCCTTGTTCTTCCTCTCATTAAACCCTCGTTGTGTGTTCGACAGCGTAAACTCACCTTCCTCCTCTTGCGGTGGATGTCTCCGATGCTGTTGGCCAGAGAGTTTGGTCCGAGCAGCGTGGAGGTGCTCTGAGGCCAGTCCACCGTCACCAGCGTGTGCTCGCCCATCAGCACTTTACGGATGTTCTCAGCACCCGTGACCCGAATCAGAGGACGTCCGAGGAGGTGAGTCTTGAACACATTGCCGTACTTCTGCCTCCGTGACGCGTGGAAACTTGAACCCTGGACGAAGAGAAAATTAGTCATTTTTAAACTTCTACCTCAAAAAGATAAATATCAAAGAAAACTGTTTGGGAAGTCATTTAATCTCAAATCAAGGCTGATATTTACTGAAATCATCATCATTGTAAAAGCCAGCCAACCTGAATGTACCTTTGAACCATCTATTCCCAATCCTGTTGGCACATTAAAGAATATATAAATGTTTAAGCAGCTAAAGTGTTGAAAATGACTGAAACTTTCCCCAGTTTTGGTGTCGTTTTTCTCAGTTTACAGAGTCCTGGTGGTTGGTAAACCCACGTAGAAGCAGATCTGGAGAAAGTTGTCGAGAGAGCAGCTTTAACCCCGACTCCTAAAACAGTTCGGGTCATGGCAGAACGAGAGGGAGCCGACCCCAGAACTGTAAACGGGCTGTTTGAGGGGAAAAGTATATCCATCAGCCTGAGGGCAACTCACCGTGTCACGCGCGCACACACACACGTATACGACACGCACCGAGTGTCTGACGCTCGCGTGCAAGTATTCACACATACCGTACAACCTGGAGTACGCGCATGTTCAGGTCCACATACCTGACGAAATGCCTGTTTATGCACATAGCCTGGTTTCATACAAAAACACGCAAAGCTAACAAACACACGGAGGCCCAGCTGCAAATTGGCGTGACAACACCAACTGGTTTGACCCCAGTTTGCTCGAGGGGAAACAGATACTTGCAGCCAGGAGACGTGGAGAGGTCAAACATTTCAACAGGAACGCGTGAAAGAAGCAAAACCACGAGCTGCTGTTTCAGAATTCACTCCAACCCTTCCTCAGACACCTTTCCTTCTTAATTTCTGCTTTTTAAATACAATTTTTTAGAAAACCTGCCCGTATCGAGCCTTCGCTCTAATTTTAGACGATAGTTTGTTTCCTGTTTGAGACATACCTCTGGCAGTGGTGGTATGTTCTGTTTGTCTTTATATTTTCTTGCTCACCACTTCAGCTCTCACTGCAAAAAGTCTCTTTACAGCAATTCGGGTTTACCATGTCGCTTTTAGCTCCAACTATTTTAGTGAACCTCCAATAGTCAGTAAAATCAAAATCAAAATCTGCTTCAGTTTCCAAGAACGGTCAAAACTAAGGAGGTGTAAAAGTCCTGCCGGAACTACCTGCCCGTGAACGGATGAATGAAATTATCAGTTAAATATATTGAATAAAACTTGCAATTAGATGTTGAAAAGATAACTTTACTTTTGTACAAAATTAGTTGTATAGCAGAGATGAAACAGTACTTAAAAGTAAAAATAACCTAAACAGAAAATGACTTGGGTAAAATAAAATTATCTCACTGATTAGAAAAGTACTGAAATCATAAAACTGCTAAACATTTGACCATAAAATCACCATCTAATGGTTTTGTCATCAACTGAGAACTGCTAATTTGCAAATTTGTTACAAGAGACCGCCACCATTTCCGATGAACAGTGTGAGAACCTCGCCCCACCTTGGAGAGCTGCCTGTATTGCCACAGTTTCTTCTTCTATCTCCGTAAATATGAACGTTTGGTCTTTGTTTCCTTTTGCATCACAATGCCAGCTGGACGTGATGTAGGCCTTTTCTGGACCACATTCAGTATTAGCATTTTTTTCATGATATGTAGTCGAACGTAATCCCCTTGAAAATCTGGACTTCACTGTATTTGACCACCTTTGACTGTATTTTTAATAGCCTCAGTCAGCAGCTCTTCAGCAGAGCAGCTAAAGTTAAATTAGAGTAAAAACACGCCCACTAATTTCTGACCAATCACACGATACTTGGCAAACACCCCTGCAAGAACACAGCTCTGTGAAGAGCCGGTTCTTATGGTGCGTTCACACCAAACGTGATTTTAGCATCAGGAGCATCAGGTTTACATACAAAGTCTATGGTGGATGCGTTTCAAGCAGCGTCAGGAAGTGCTGCGGCGCCTCAAGCACGATTTGAACGATTTGAACGATCTGAGCGTTCGACGTGCTTGATGCTCAAATCGCTGAAGTTAGAAAATCTGAACTTTTGCAGCTCGACGCGCCGCGTCAACCAATGAGAGAGACTCCACTGTGTGACGTAGTGACATATTTCCCGACGGGACAGTTTACTGAATGATGTCCACTAACCTGAAACAGAYGGAGMGGAGCTCTTTAGCTGAAATCSAGTGCCTGCAGTCGGTGTCCTGACAGGAGATATCCTCACCAATGCGTGGCAGCGACTCATCAGACTGGACTCGGGACAAAAATAGTCCTGAAAGCGAGCTGTGAGCCTCTACTCTGAATTATCTGGTGAATTAATTATGAATTAATTATCTGATGAACGTGACATGCTCTTTCTCTCTGTAAATAAAGCAAAACCACTTCCTCGTCCGACATTAGAGCCCGACAGAGGAGGGAGGGGCGAGGAGGCTCTTCCCGTGCAGCGCTTCAAGAGCTGACCTGTATCTGATCTCAAAGTGCACAAGCTTCAAACTTCAGCGTTGGCTGCGATTTTGAAGCTGAAATAGCGTTCGGTGTGAACGCAGCATTGCAGTGTTTGCAGGATCAGAAAGACGTAAGAATCGTCCCACAGCTGCGTTAAGGCAGCGCTTATATTCGCGCTTTGGGTACGTGGACAAGGTGCGCGTCCACACTCTCCAACAACGTAGGTGTTTTCCACAGACAAACAATTTGAATGGTGCGTGGTGCGTGCAGCCTTTGCAGAGTTACAAAAATTCGGAGGTGCACAACCACGTGCCGGGACACCGCGCAGGGCCAACGTGCAAGGGTGGGGACGGCACGATTGCGTCACTATTGGCACGCAGAGTTCCTAACGTCTTGGAGTCTCCTGCTGGGTTTACGTCTTTTTCTACAGGTTTAATTCTCTGCAGGTTTAAAACAGAAAAGCTATCAAACGTTTGATTGGATACACCAATTCCTTTCCCGCCCACTTCCTCACATCTCTCGACCTTTTCTCACCTCTTCACGTTGACGCACCTCCCGTCTTTCTCTATTAAATTGATAACAGATGGCCCGGCCCATTCTGCTTTTAAACTCTGATCTCCAGACCTGCTTTTATAGAAGGAGAAAAAATGTCACTAATTAGCATTCTGCCCCCTCCGTCCCCCACCGGCACCACCTTTCCAGTCTGCGTTCGTTGTAATTGCACTTAAGCTCCTTCAGATGTTAAGACCTCTTTGTGAGGTGTTGACAAAATTTTATTTTCGCCACATGTTTACTCCGGGTTTCCCCCGATAAAACTGTCCTTAGAGTTGCAACGTCTGGTTCCTGTCGAAACGCAGCCGTTTGATTGTCGAATATTTGTTTACGTTAAAACCAGCCGACGTCACATTTTTATCTCAGATTTCAGGGATTTTTTTGTGTGTTGATCTCAAACTGTTGACCCTGAGCTGTTTTCACAGCTCCTGTGCACTTCCTCTTTTTTTGACACACACACACTCATTATCACGTACACATTAACGCACACACACCAGACTGGCGGCTGGTGTGTGTGCGTGTGTGTGTGTGTGTGTGTGTGTGTGTGTGTGTGTGTGTGTGTGTGTGTGTGT